GAGAAAACTGAGAGGGTCACCGAAAAAAATGGAGGGAAGAGTTCTGCGTTCGCGTTAATACATGTGGCTTTTTGTGACGACATTATGTCGTCGTAAAAAATATTAAATTTCGTCGCAATTAATTTCAAAACGATATCGTTCTTCTTCACCTCATTAATATTTCTCAGATATTCTTGAGGAATATTCCATGCTCCTTTTTTGCGATGACTTTTTAATAAAGTTGTCGCAAATATTTTTTGGAAAACCGCCAAAAAGTTTGCTTTTTTTTTGGAAAGTAAATTCTATCGGTATTTGCGACGACAATTAACACGTGTCAACGCAAAAAAATAGTAGGTCTGGGAAGAATTTTCTGAAACTTTTATTTGCGAGGACATTTCAATATGTCGTCGCAAAAAAGGAAGAATTTTTTGGAACTTTTTGGGAAACCACCAAATTTTTCGCCTTTTTTTGGCCACGTCACTGCCAGCTGTATAAATCAATATTAGTGACGATATTTCATCATAAATAATGGACAAACTGGCCCCAAACATGTTGGCGCCATATTGGTTTTGGTGCCAATCATTATTCACGACGACATGTCGTCGCTAATTTTTGACGTACGTTTTAGCGACGACATGCTGTCGCAAATAAATAAATTTGTTCGACGACATGTTGTCGCATATATTAAATGTGACGACAAGTAGTTCAAAAATTTTGTTGCTTTATTGTGACAACATATCATCGCAAATATACTACTATTAGTAACAGCAATTGTCGTTGCTAATAACCTTTTTTGTTGTAGTGTGAGGGAGAGATTGAGTTTCAAGAACTAGTGCATGGTCTTATTAATACACAAATGTATAACTTCTGTTGGGATTTTGGTTTTGATTTGATTTTCATATTTGATTTTTTTTTTTTTTTTTGCATTATTTTAGGTATGTTTTGGTAATTGATCTGATTGAAGATTGGCAGCTGTTAAGTTTATTTAGAAACTGTTTAGAATCAATCAAATGATTTGAAAAAATCATGATTTAAGTATCATTAGTAAGTTAAAATTAGATGAGTTGATTGATTTGCTGCAGAATATTTGTTTTATAACTTGATTTGCTGTAAAATATTAATTTTGGGAAGTTTCTGATTTGAAGAAATTTGGTTAGGTGAAATTTAAATGCATTTAAAGGTTTCTTATTTTGGAGATGTCAACTCTATTAGGATATGGAAACTTGGATTTAAATGGAATGAATTTTATGAAAAAAAATAAAATAAAATAAAAAATAAAAAATAAAAAATAAAAAATCTTCTCTTGCTACTTAAGATGTCCGGATTCATATAGCATTTATTTGAATATTTCAATATCAGAAAAGTTGTTTTGATTGCTTAATCATCACAGCTCTGTTAAAGTATTTGATGCAACAAAATCTGCAACAGATTGTCAATACCTGATTATATTGAAGATCTTTGATAGCTAGTTTATTTGGCTATTTAATTAAAGTCTCACAATTATCTCATAATGCCATTTGAGATTTAAAATTTTAAAGAGTCAAATCATTTTGTAAGCTTCATTATTTTAATATTTCTTTGGGAGAAAGAATTTAGATTTTCCAGAAAAACTGATTAAGTTAAAAAGATTTCAACGTTAAGTCGAGGAGAGCTCGCTGAGCAAGTCCATTAGGTAATTATAAGTTCATAGAGGGAGTCTCTGGTTGTTTTAAGTTCATTTGAGTCGTAATATTATTTACTTAGTAGATTGTTCAAACATCTAGACATGACCTCACGGATAAATGTGGTACTGAACCGCAATAACTACTTCTTGTGCCTCTTACTTCTTACTCCAAGTTTTTAGATATTCGTTAATTAATCTACAATAAAACTTGGTAATATCATCAAACCGGTGCTTATAACTTCTCAGGAATTTCAATTAATGTGCTGATAGTTCATCACTGTAAGAATTGGGTACAAACTTCCCCCTCCTTTTCTCATCAATGGACTTATGTTGTATATGAAAACATGCGGTTTTTTTGATAAATTCCAACTTTCTATCTATCTTTGAGATGTTTATATTTTTCAAAACTCTATAAACATGCCGAAGAGATATGCTATCCCCACTCAGATACATAACTTTTACTTATTCAAATAGCATGTGTAGGGTGCAATAAGGTCAGGAACAACGAAATTTCTTTATGGTAAAGAGATTCATTTTTTGCAAGTTCATTATTTTTGTCCTCTCAAATTGCAAGTAACGTGCCTCATTTTGGTGGTTTATTGCATATATATAGAGAGAGAAAGACAGAACGTAAACTTGATAAATATACATAGGGTCCGTTCGGTTCGCTAATTTGAGTTTTTAATTTGAGTTAAGATGTGATGTTGTATGAGAGTTTTTTACTGTAGTAAAAAAGTTAAATGTGACTATTTCTGAGAGCTTTTTACTGTAGTGAAACTCGAATTCTAAATTCGAATTAGCGAAAAGAACAGAGCTATAGTCAATTCAAGGAATTCAATTCGAGGAATCGTCTATTTAAATTCAAGAATATTACTCTCGAGCAAAAAAAAAAAAAAAAAAAGAGAGCTTAATTATTTATTTGGAAGGATGCGTGCATTATGGTTGATATTTGATCAGTCTGTTTTGTGGGGCTACCGTCTATATATATCCAATAAATTTCTACGCCTATATATATATATATATATATAATATATATATATATTAGGTTTAATTTCAAAAATTCCCTCCAAATTATGACCTTTATATAGTATTAATTTCAAAAATTAACCCGAACTATGACCTTTGTAACACTTTACTCTCCAAATTTTAAAAAGTAACATCCGTTCCCACCGAACTTTGTTCCGTTAACAAGTTTTCTCTTCTATTATAATGAGTGACGAAATTCACCACGTGTCCGACACATGACTCATCTAAAGAGGGTATTATCATAAATTAACCTGCAACAACCCTTTCAAGCATTAAAGAAAGAAAACCCAAATCTTGAACAACATAAAGATCAGGAAAAAAAAAAAAAGAACAATGAATCCAAGACGGAATCATCGGAGTTGAAAGGCTCCAGACGGATACTGCAAGAGTCTTTCTTCGAAGTTGTCGTCGGAAGGAGGCGGCGATTGCGATGAATACGAAGATGAAGCTATGATCGTCATTGAATTCTCTACATAACCAAAAGAAGACGAAGACGAAGAAGAAGCAAAAGCCGCCATTGAAGAGTGAAAGTGAAGGAGTGATATGCAATGTTGAAGAGAGAGAGTTTATGGAAGAGAGAAGAAGTAAAAGGGAAGTGAAAAAGAAATGAATCCTAGAAAAAGTGGTAGAGAGGGAAAAGGAAAGTGAAGATGATGGTCAAAGAAAATATGGTGAATTTTTTCAATAAAAATATGAAATTATCTGATTAGGAGTGTATAAGTGTAATTCCGCTTTCAATTCTCACTAAATAAGTAACACATGGCAATTCTGTTAACAAAATGGGTAAACTTGTTAACGAAACAAAATTCGAGAAAATGGATGTTACTTTTCAAAATTCAAGAGACAGTGTTAAAATAGTCACAATTCAAGAGAAAATTTTGAAATTAATCCTATATATTATACTACATTGTTAGTCATATTGTTAGAGTTTGTGCACACATACGTTGGATACAGACAGTTAATTAATTATCCCATGCAGTGTCACGTAAAGCATATATTCTATAGTAATTGTTAGAACAAATTTTTAGTTGACCAAATACTAAAATGAAACGTGTATATACACACTTAAACCTTCGTCAAAAGACAGGAAAAAGAAAAACAAACATAAAAAAATGTATATGCCAATTGCATATTTATAATAAATAAATATGTTGATAATTTGACTTAAAGTCAAATTGGAACATGACATGCTAACCATGTCTTTTTAAGGAATGCCACCAATGTTTAAATAACGATAAACATAAATAAATATAGCCAATTTATATATTACTAGCTGTTTATCCGCACGTTGCAACGGGTAATAAAAAGTAACAACAAATTTAGGTCACAGAAGATAGGTCAAGTACACAAATGGAGAGAGTGACAATATATTAGCAGCAGTTTTTCAACAAAATTGTATAAGATGTATGTGTCAAAATCAATTACAATTATTATTGCCATGTAAAGGAACTGATTGAAACGAAATACAGTAAATAAAGATATGTGTGCGCATCCAGAGTTGAAGAAGTAATAGAAAAGAGGTCGATATGAAGTAACGCTTCAAGTGTGAAGGACGAATGTCGACTAAGGAACTGTCAAAGGACAGTGAAGGATGTCGTAGTAAGAAAATGAGGTAGTAAATGATAGGGAGCGTGAGAAAATATACACATAACTAACTAAATAAATAAAGAAATGTGCAGAGAAAACAAAGTGACCTAAAAAAGTAATAATACATGAATATCGTGATATTTTTATACAGCGATGATGACTCAGATACTTAATATTTCCGGCAACTTCGGCAACATATGATGGATAAACAAACTTATATGTTTATAATCATTTCATGAACATTAATAGTATATTATATCCATCATATAGATTAAACATGTATGTCACAGAAAATGACCGGTGAAAATAAAATATAAGTTTGTCCAAAGACCACCAAGTGACCTAAGAGAACAAAGGAAAAGAATTGATTTTTTTACGAATAGGAAAGAGTCGAAAAATCAAAAGTAAGTAAAACAGGGAGATCAGACGAAAACAAAGGGAAAAGAAGAAAAGGCAAAAACAGCAAGAGGAGAAGAAAGCCAATGTATGTAAAAGTAATCTTTTAGAGAAAGAATTGTGTAAAAAGGGTGGAAGCATTGGAATATGTGAAGAAAAGGACAGACGTAGCTAAGAGGTTTAAGTCAAGAAGGATAGGCAAAGTAAGAATTGAGGCAGCAAGAACACATTGAAAGCAGTTTTTGAACAAATTTGATGGAACTCACTCTATCAGAATGGAATGTGATCATCATCGCCATATAGAAAAAATAGCTGAAAATAAAGTATGATTACTAATATTTGCTGGCAACAAAAGGGAATTTTTCTCAGCTCTTTACATCAGTGATATCTATCAATAGTATAACAAAAATTTGTGCGAACATAGATAATAAACCATAAACAACAGACATTAATATTGCGATTGCAAATTCATACATCCAGGGCCAACAATAGTTCTTAAAAATACCTAAAATGTTGTCAATATCACCGCAAGTACCAAAACAGACCACGCAAGGGTCAACGTTGATAAAAGGACGCATCAATAAGTATATGAAGGAGTAAATGACATGGACCTGGAAAAATATAGATGAATAAGGAAACAAATGAACAAATGAGGTACCAAAAAAAAACTGATAAAATACGGATGCCATAATATTTTTTCTTGGTTGTTGGCCATTGTTTTAGTTCTCATTTCTAACATGTGTTATACCTTATCAATGAACAATCATGCTTATAGACATGAGAGAATATTCAATTTGATTACGGTATAATGTTGTATTTGTATTTTAAAAGCATGTGGAGAATAGAAATTTCTATTTCTTAAATATGAAACATGAAATATCCATCAAATAAGTGTGAAGGGCAGTAAAGGATGCAATAGTGAAGATATAAAGTAGTAAACGGTAAGGAATCTGAAGAAATATAGATAGATAAATAAGCAAATGAATAAACAAATAGGCCTAGGGAGAAAAAAAAGAAGGAAAAAAAAAGCTAAGAAAGACTAATGAAACATGAATGTAACAATATGAAGTACTAAATGATAGGAAATGTAAAGGCATATAAATAAATAAGCAAACAGATGAATGGACAAATGAATAAATGGAGAAAACAGGAAGACAAAAATTACAATATGAATATCGCAATGTTTTTATTTGGCAATCATGGTTCAAGTATTTGATATTTTTACTAACGTGTGATGAATAAACCGTTTTGTGGCTGCCTATTATGGGCAACTGCACAAAAACAGGAAGATTAGCAAGATATCATATCCATCCCACGAATTATAACTTATATGCCACGGAAAATGACCAACTGGAATAAAATATGACGTTGTCCAAAGACTACCTGGTGAATCAAAAGAAAAAGGAAAAGGCAGAGATTTTGTTACATATACAAAACGGGCAGAAAACAAAAACCAAATCAGAGAGGCTGAAAATTTAAGAGGACCTAAAGCTGTTTGCTCGGGAGCAGAAAAAAGGGAGGGAAAAAAGAAATAAAAAAAAAGGAGGAAAAAAAACTAAAACTGTCATTGCACAACATTATATGCAATGAAATGGAGATTGATCAACAATAGACAACTCTGACTAAATCACTGAGGATTAAAAGATAAAAAAGATATTACAGTGACAAAAAATTATATATTATATAGATAAATGAATCCCAGCTCAAAAAGTGAAAATACAAATATGAGCGTTAGAAAATAACTTGAAGTCACAGAAAAATACGATAGGTAAATAAAAACAGGTACAAAAATGAAAATTCAATATCGGAAAAAGGGAGCTAGTATACGTGTAAACAACTTTTGAAGTTAAATACTAATCCGAAGAAGGCAAAAACATGAGAATACGCAAAAGAAATAGAAAACAGAGAGTTAGAAACTCTAAGCCAAGAAACGTAGACAAAAGCAAAATCCAAATGAGGAAGATTTATTCATAGCAATCTCTGGACAAACCATATTAAACTCAACGTGTAAAGGTCGATTATGTTCATCATTGCCATGTAAAAAGGGGAAAAAAATAAAACAACGCAAGGTAAAACATATGAAATGAAGATATGTATATAAGCATGTTATTAAGACATAACAAAACTGCAAATCAACACTGGGGCAGTAATAAGTGATGGAACATAATAAAAAAAAAAGAAAAAGAAAACAGAAAGAATAGACAGATATCAACAATATTTATCAAGAATAAAAAGAATTTTTTACCAGGCCTTTACATCAGTAACAACCATTGCTTAAATAATAGAACTATACATCAACAAAAACAATGAAAGAAAAACGGGACATATTAATAATGCTACAGGAAACGGATATATCTAATATCAACAAAAGACATTAAAAAGTTATCAGCAGAAGCTGTTAATAGTACCTGAAGCGCTTCAAATGCTGTCTTAACTATGAGATATCAGCCAACCAAAGGGAAAGACAGGTGGTCAACAAAGCAGTAAATGATCGGGAATAGAATGAAGGAGTAAATGATCACAGGCGAAACAAAACTGAACAGAAATAGTCAAAGACACACGGATAAAGGAATAGAGCAATAAATGATCAACAATGCAAACAGTGAATGATCAGAGATGAAACAAAGGAAAAGGAATGCCAAGTGCAAGAGAAAGGGCCACAAACATATATGATAAATCAATACAGAGTAGCAGCATTCACAAATAAGTAAAAAGAAAGCATAAATGTTAATAACATTAGAGAAAAGCAAGCAGAAGCTATTAATAGTACTTGGAGAGCTTTGAACACTATTCTAACTGTGAGATATTGACCAACTAGAAATGGAGACATGCAGTTAAAGATAAAAGGATAGAAAAACAGAGGAGTAAATGATAGAAGGTGAAATGAAAGAGTAAATGATCATAGGTAAAGCAACAACAAATCAAAGCGGTTAAATGGGACAGAGCTAAAGGAGTAGAGCAGTAAATGGAGAACAATGGAGTAAAATAATAGTAGATAATGAAAGATAAAACAGCATGGGAAACAGAAACACGTATTACAACTTGTCTGCAACTTTCATAAATAATGCATGAAAAAGTTACTATGAACAGTGGATGGCCTCTAGTAATGTAACACGTAGTAATACATACTCAGCTTACAAAAATTGGAGGATTAAAATTTCCTAACTAAGCAACAAAACCAATATAGGCCAAGGAGCAATTTAAAAAATAATTGCCTCATAAATAGGAAAAAGCAGAGGCAAGAAAAAAGGGGAAGAAAAAAAAAGGGGGAAAATTTTTTCCCCTAAAATCACCGGGATTCTAGATAATAGATGCTAAAATTGGCGCAGATTCCAGAAAATGCACAGGAAAAAAAATAGCAATTCATTTAATATGTATATACCAAAATCGCCGCAAATCATCCACCCAACAAAGCAAATTAATGATGACTATAAACAGCCCAGATCATCAAAGCAAATGAATGATGACTATAAACAGCCCATATCATCAAAGGAATAAATGAAAGGAAAAAAAATGAAAGCTACCCATACGCGGCATAAGATCAACCAAGAGAAAGTCCACCGATGCAAATAAAGCGTGTGCACAGATAAATCCATCAAAGAAGAAGATAAATAACCTGCGAAGAAATTGAAGCAAACAACATGCATTACCAAAATTTTTAAAAAACAAAAATCAACCGTGAACAATAAATTATAGTACATAGAGCATGTAAGGAAGAAATAATCGGACAAAAAAAGCAAGAAACAAAAATATTGAAGCAATAAAAGAAGAAACCCAACAAAGAAAGAAACCCAAAGTAAAAAAGAAAAGAAAAACACTACCGGAAGAAACCCAGAGAAAAAAAGAAAAGAACAAAGAAAAAAAACAATTGTGAACAAAAAACTACGGTACATAGATCAGCTAAGGAAGAAATAAAGAGAGAAGATTGAGAGCGGAAGGAGAAAGAACATGAAAAAATGGCAACAGAAAGAAGACCTAAGTAGACAGAGATCGAGAAAGAAAGTGAACCTAAAGCACCGAAATTACCTTAAATTCCAACAGAAAAACAAATCAAAGAGGAAAAAATCACATGAAAAAATGGCAAGAGTAGTGACAATTTTTCACAGAAAAAATGGAAAGAAAAGGGAAAAAGAAGATACCTGAAGGACTTTTAGAGGAAGAAAGCAAGTTTTAGAGTGTGGAGAAGCCGCCACGATAAGAGGTGAAGACCTTCGTTTCTACGTCTGCGTTCGCCGGAAGAGAGAAAGAGGCTTGGAATAGGATGAAAGAGAATAGAGTGAGTGGAATATATAGGCGTAGGCGGTAGTCGGAAGGAAATATATCCTTTTTCTAATCCAGTTAAATTGCTCCACCACGGGTTCGAGAAAATTTGATAAAAGAGACCGGAGAAAATCAAAATTTGATAAAAGAGACTAATTTTTTTTTTATAATAAAAAAATGATGACGTATATCTTATGTGATAAAAAATGGGTCCTATTAGTCCTAGGTTATTTTCAAAAATCTCATTCCTCACAAAACCAACCGCCGCTCGACCTTCTCTTCCCCCCGAAACTGACCGCTCGACCCTCTCTCCCCCGACTGAGCTCTCTCACAACCGACCACCGGTTTTTCTCTCCGATCACCTCTCGCCGACCGCCGGCTTTTCTCTCCGATCAGTCACCAACCTCACGACCGACCGCCGGCTTTCCTCTCCCCTGTTTCTCTCTCTCTCTCTCTCTCTCTCTCTCTCCGATCCACTCTCCAATCTCTCTCGTCTCGGCCGACCGACCACCTCACCAAACACCGACCATTCATCAAAACCTGACTCCCTTCCCACTAAAACCGACCAAAAACCGACCCCAACCACTTACCAAATTCCCGACCACAAAAACCGACCACCTGCTCACCAAAATTTGACTAAAATGGCATCAAAAACCAGCTCTTCTTCCTCAACTAAAACGGCCATTTCCCGAACAATTGTTGACGAGGCAACGGAATCTGCTCAAGTAATATTCTTGTTTTACTTTTTCTTATATAATTTTGCAAGAAAAAAAAACTTAATATAAGCAACATTGGTCTGTTCATAATCGGTTCTTAGTCGGTTTTAGTTCTGGTCTATTCTCAGTCGATTCTAGGTCGGTTTTAAGTCGTTTCTGGTGGTCGGTTCTTAATCGGTTCTTATCGAGAGGGGTCGGTTCTGGTCGGTTCTTGGTGAAGTCGGTTCTTGGTCGGTTGGTGGTCGGTTCATAGTCGGTTCTTGGTCGGTTCAGGTAAGTTTTGGTCGGTTCTATTCGGTTTTGGTCGATTCTGTCTGTTTGGTCGGTTCTGCGGGGATTTTGGGTCGGTTCAGTCAGTTCTTGTTGGTTTCTTGGTCTATTCTAGTCGGTTCTGTCATTTTGGTCGGTTCTGACCGGTGTGTTTTTTCTTCTTTTTCAGTATGACCTCCCAAAGTACAACACAGGTGAACTTCCTGGGATCAGACATCTAAAGATGATCATGGATCCTGTGCGGCAGTATTTCCCAGTGAAAGTGACTATGAAGTCAAAGATCGAGGCTTTGGAGGTAATCAGGCAGAATCTAGACCCCGAAACGGAAATGCCAATTTTCAAGGAGTCTGCCTTCGAACATTTTATTTCGATGTCTGAAAATATGATCTATTTTGGAGTGTTGACACAATATCTGCTTTTAAGGCGGATAGAAACAAAAAAGAGACATGAGTTGTGGTTCATGGTTAATGGAACCACAACTAGGTTTGGAATGAGGGAATTTGCATTAATTACTGGATTGAATTGCGGGGAAACTCCAGAGCCGGACGTGATCTTGAAAGCTTCGAAGAATAGAAGATTATTGGAGCATTTTAAGTCCCACGTAGTACTTGTTGCTGATTTAAGAAAATTACTCACAGGGAAGAAGATAAAAGGTAGCGATAAAGCAAAGATCGCTATCATTTATTTTTTAGCACAAGTATTATTATCTGAGGACGAGAAGAAGACCGTCCCACTGGATTGGCTGTCTTACGTTGACGATTTAGAATTCTTCAACAACTATCCATGGGGCAGGGTGTCTTTTGAATGCACCCTGCAGGCTTTGAAGAAGAACTTGAGAGAGAAATTCCAGAAATGGGTTCGGATGGGACGTAATAAGAGCATCAAGGAAACCTACTCAATATGCGGGTTTCCTTGGGCCTTCCAAGTATGTCATACAGTTATATGCATAATTTTTCATGGCCTTATAGTAAATAATACCATAATTGGTTTACTAGACTTAAAAAAATTAGTTTAACGCAGGTTTGGACATTCGAAACATTTCCAACCATCGGCGCCATGTTTGCAAAGATGGTTGAGGGACGTCTTCCCAGAATCCTCAAATGGGAGGCACGCCGGGTTTCATTGGTCGAGGTTAGACAGATAGACGACCTCATGCACAGTGGCGAGGTAAGGGTTTAAATACAATGTTTTTATAGGTGTAAATTTTACAAAATAGGCATATTTGTTTTTTTTACAATATGTTTCCACCTAAATAATCATTGAATGTATGTTCTTTTAATCAGGGAATGGCCGTACCAATTCTTTATCCCACTAAGGAGGAAATGAATAGTATGTGCATGAGGTTGTATATGCCTTATGCTGACCAAGAAGATCCTGAGATTGACCAGCTTGCATCATTTTTGGACTCTAGTGCAAGAATGGTCCATGTCCAGCAACCGAAGCCTCCGAAATGATTGGCTCGTCGACAACTACTTCCCCAACAACAACAGCAACTTCCCCAACAACAACAACAACTACAACAACAACAATAACAACAACAACAGCAACAACAACAACAACAACAACAACAATAACAACAACAACAGCAACAGCAACAGCAACAGCAACAGCAACAACAACAACAATAACAACAACAACAACAACAACAACAACAACAACAACAGCAACAACAACAACAATAGCTGAGCAAGCAAGATGATATGTCTATTGATCACATAGTTGACATACTCTATCACAGGATGGTAGAGTACAATAGTAGACATTTTGAAGCCATCAACAAGAGGCTAGACTCGCTAGACGTATCTGTTAGAGAACTTAAGGACAATATAGCATGTCTAGCCAAAAATAACAATTACAGCCAAAGCCAGTGCCTGAGGAAGAACTTGACCCAGAGGTTCAGCTTGAGCCTGAGGCAGAACTTGAGCCTCAGGTTCAGCCAGAGCCTGAGGATCAGCTTGAGCAACAGGTTCATTCAGAGCCAGAGTCTGAATCGAAGAATGAAAAGTGACTTAAGAGGCCTAGCAAGTATATTGAGTCGCCTTACACAGATCCCATGCGTAATGTGAGGAAGAAGATGTGGACCTTTAACGATGCTGTTGAGGCCTTCAACAAGTGGTTCGCTGATTCTAGTACGGACTCTAAGCTGATTGAGTGCGGTTTTAGAGATTGGAGGAAGGACTTCTTCTAGATCATCTTGAAGCCAGGTGAATGGCTGTTCAATGATGTAAGTAATCACAACATATTTACTAAATTTATAGTCTTATTTTTTATACCATTACCATTATACTGAATTAATTTTTTATGACTTATAGCAAATTGACGAGGCATGGGGTCTTCTATCGATTAGAAGGTCAAGGGCACCTGAAGGGCAGTTCAATAACAATATTGTCACCCTAAATGATATATTTTGCCAAAAGTTGAGAGCGCGATTCTACACCAATAAAAAGAAATTGGCAACGTATACGTTTGACAACGACCTAGATGAATATGTAGGTGGAGAAAAGCGCATAATTGGCCAGAAATGGGATGGCGCGCAGGGCTTCACTATGCCTTTTAACATTGAGAGGAAGCATTGGGTTGCGCTTTATGTTGATTTATCTGAATTCAACATAAAGGTGTATGACTCAGCTGTTATGATGTATAGAGATCAACATATGCAAAGACAAGTGGAGCCAATCGCTGTCATTATGCCCAAGTTCTTGAAGTACACAGGTTTATTCAACCATCTAGGCAATAAACTTGACTGTGCATGGCCAATCGTTCGTCCCAAGTGGTTGGTCCACAACCTTAGATCAGGTGACTGCGGACTTTTCACATACAAATTTATCGAATACCTTGTCCGCAGAATCCCGTTAGAAGACCTCGCTGAAGAAACAGTAAAAGCTTACCGGTTGGAACTTGCGGTCGGAATTTGGAGCGAGTACAAGTTGAAGAGGCCAGTGACTCCTAGTATATGAAATATTGGTTGTTTTGGTTGTTGTAAGATAGATACACAACATTATTGGTGTTGCAATATGTTTATTATTGGCATTGCAATGCATTTATAATTAATCATATTCAACAGGTTATTTTAGCTCTGGGGAAGCTTATATTTATGGGAAAATGCTGCCCAAATATTTACACAATAATGTATGTTTTTTTTTTTTTTGAAAACTTCAAATCAGTCCCGAAGATTGCAAAATGCGTGTTTCATTGTAAAATTAGGGGTTTTATCGGGGGGTGGAGAGGGGGGCACGAGCGTGGGAGAGGGAGGCACGGGGGCGCGCGCGCCCGGGGCACGG